TTGTTCTCCATGTTTCCGCTCCTTACAACAGAACTGATTCGACATAAAAATTAAAATTTTAGTTTAGTATTAGTTTTAATTTCAATTAACCTCCACAAATTTCCTAGTGCTATAAAAGCTTTTCATGCCTTTTATGTTTGTATATTAATAACTCTATCAGTTCCCCCATCTTTGTCTATATTACTGTCTAAATAGGCGCAAGACTCCACGTCTTTGAGTGGGATACCATTAAAATAAATTCCACTACTATTTGCCTGATTTATTCTCATTATCCTTTTCTTTCCCTTGTGGATTTTTAGACCTAGCTGTTGTGATCTAGCATCAGATAATTTTAATTTTTCTAGCTTCCAATTCCATGAGTGGGACAAAAGAGAAACATCATCAGTCAGCGAAGTCCAGATTATCAAGCTGTTTTGTAGGGGTCCGCTGAATTCCTGGTGTTAGCAGTTGCTGCTTAATTTATTCTACTGTCAGTTAGAGAGGCAACAAAAGACATCCAATGTCGCAGACCTGTTTTTGTGTCCAATGTATCTGTTTAGATTTCCCTCATGTACCTAGAGTGGTCTTGTTGTAGTCCAGAGGAGTCAATTAGAAGAATATAGACGAGGAAGATGGTCGTGTCGATATAGTTGTACCTCCACTTTCTAGATATAAATGTTTTTTGGTATCAATTATAATATCTACATTCGAACCTAGATATGATATACGAACCGTGATATGCTGCGCATGCGCGGGTGTTTGTTGTTATTACGAGGCATTTACCTGAAATTTGACGCAAGCAGTGGTGTGTGCGACGCCTCCTTCACTTACGTATGTGTATCTTTTTCGGTATTTGTGTCATGAAACAATACAGTTAATTTGTGAACTTGTAGATGGCATTACTGGCAAACAGTTCAAATTATTGTTCAGGTATCGCGTATTTGTTCCAACATGGGACCAAAGGAAACTAAGAAGGAATAGAAGACAATCATGAAAAAAAAAAGTTGAAGAAATTGGGAACAAATATGAGAAAGGAGTCAGGCAAACTGATTTGTGCAAGTAATGTAACTTGTCCAAGTTTACCATATCTACAATTCTCAGGAAAACATATTTTTTATAAGAAACTATAAGGGGCCTCCATCCTTCGCCTATTGCTATTTTATAATCGCTTCACCTATCACATGAGTTATACGTTGGATTATCTTCGCAGCACTCCTGACACATCCATAGGTCATCATTCCCCTTTCAATATATTCATCAGCGTCGCGCGATTTAATAGCCCCAGTCATGTGTTGGTTGACAAGATTGTGTGTGCCTCTTATTTGTTTCTCATGCTTGGCTGTGCCGATCTTTACTCCCAATTCTCCTATGCTTAGCAGTCATGTGGACACGTTGCTTCCAAAATCCTCAGAACGTCTCAACTCTCTAAGGGCTTTGACAATGTCTGCGTGATCCATGGGCCGGCCATCTGCAATTAATGCATAACCTGATGTTTTTCTTTGTGTTATCTCGAAGAAATAAAGTTATGGAAGAAATGGAAACTTTACTGCTCGTCTGAATTAATGGCATTCGACTGAAAGCAGACACTGTTTCTCAGAGTATGATCTGTTTAAAAGTTCAAGCGTTTTACTGAAATACAGTGATGTACATAACAAAATATTCGTAATCGTTTCTTAACAGTAATGATTATCACGTTACTATGCTTTGGCGAACGCTGTTGTTGGTTCTACGACGCCCTGTAAAGCATATTAAGGCTTTAAACATTAAACGTTAATGATTACACAAGCATAAATTACTACACGAGCAAGTAATAATAAAACCTTTTAACAATATGAAACCCGAAACAGTCATTCATATACTGATTGATCTGTCCTGTTGCGCCATACAATCCACGATATAGACCTTTTCACGGTCAATTCCTCCATTTTATTCTGAGCAATCCTTTCAATATTGTGAATGGTATCTATGTCCAGCACCGCTGTCCTCTCTCATCGAAGTTCGTTTTAGGGTTTCTCTTGGATGTCTCCCCTCCCATTCTTTTATTTGTTACCCACTTCAGCGCCTGTTTAGTGATCTCTACTCATTTGTTGTGATGTTCCCAATATATTTTCATTTTCTTTGTCTTATAACTGTTGATGCCAAATGTTGCCCTGACATTTATGTTATTCCTTCACTTTTCATTAATCCATCCCATTTAATGTTTATCAGTTTCCTCAGGCATTTGTGTTATAATGCATTTAATTTTACTTCCATGTCTCAAGTCGTTTAATAAAACTTATTATAAAAAGCATATACTCTGAACGATAAATAGAAAAATAGGGGGAAAAAAGACGAAGAAGAATCAAAAACATTTTTACTCTCAAGAAATATGTTCAAATATTCGTTTTCTGAATTTAATATTTCAAAAAGGGAGAAGGTTGCATTTTTATAATTTATTACTCTTGTCTCTTCAAAAAATATTAGTTATGAAACATATTATTTCGCATATAACCTGTCCATTTTTGGTCCATGCCACCACACATCCTTTTATTCGTGTTACATCCTCTATGAAATTATTCACTTGTGAAATGAAGGGGAATAATTTATATTTACTTGGTTATTTCTTCAGCCCCACACCCACATCTAGTTAAGCCATGAAGCTGAACATTCGTCTAACAGTTTTAAGCTGACTTTACGGGATAATGGGAGATCCTTTCCTCTTACATACATACATGGATTGGATGTTGGCAAATCTTCGTTGCAGAAAACTACAGAATCGAGAGTATTGATCGACGACATAAAAATGTAAAGAGAAATGTAACATCAACGGAATCTGAGGCCATATCAGACGACCAGTCGCCAACCTTCGGAATGATTTCCCGTCTCTGGATAAATATAATTTCGCACTTCGAAAGTCAATATTTACAAACCAAAATTAAGCTTTTAACTACTAGAAAAAATGTTAGATTTGACAGTTGACAAAAGTCTTGGAATTAAAAAGCGTAAAGAAATACATAAATAAAATTCAGCTGCAAATTACATCAGAAGTGCTGGATTTTTGCTCAGGATATTTATGTTTTCTTCATAGGGGGTTATAGTGCTCTATTCACCTATTCCATTGCGTTTAAGATACATGTAAAACAAGTTAATAAAGAACAGTCAATGGATTCTTTATGGTTTTCATACTCATAAAACTCTATTGATAATTTTCTGGTACTGTAGAATATTTGACTAATTTTCAGTTTTTGAGAATATTAATTATTCGTTGTATTATTATTATTATTATTATTATTATTATTATTATTATTATTATTATTATTATTATTATTATTATTATTATTATTATTATTATTATGCTTCTTCTTTTCTTCTTACACTTAATCTTCTTCATCTTTATAATCGTCTTTTTCTACTACTTCTTCTTTTTCTTCTTCTTTATTTTCTTCATTTTTTCTTCTTCTTCTTCGGATTCTTCTTTCTCATTGGATTCTTTTGATTCTTTCTCTTCGGATTCTTCTTCTTCTTCTGATTCTTCTTCTTCTTCTTCTGATTCTTCTTCTTCTTCTTCTGATTCTTCTTCTTCTTCTTCTTCTTCTTCTTCTTCTTCTTCTTCTTCTTCTTCTTCTTCTTCTTCTTCTTCTTCTTCTTCTTCTTCTTCGGATTCTTCGGATTCTTCTTCTGATTCTTCTTCTGATTCTTCTTCTAATTCTTCTTCGTCTTCGTCTTCGTCTTCGTCTTCTCTCTTCTTCTTCTCTCTTCTTCTTCTCTCTTCTTCTTCTTCTCTCTTCTTATTCTTCTCTCTTCTTCTTCTTCTTCTCTCTTCTTCTTCTTCTTCTCTCTTCTTCTTCTTCTCTCTTCTTCTTCTTCTCTCTTCTTCTTCTTCTCTCTTCTTCTTCTTCTCTCTTCTTCTTCTTCTCTCTTCTTCTTCTTCTCTCTTCTTCTTCTTCTCTCTTCGTCTTCTTCTTCTCTCTTCTTCTTCTTCTCTCTTCTTCTTCTCTCTTCTTCTTCTTCTCTCTTCTTCTCTCTTCTTCTTCTTCTTCTTCTTCTTCTTCTTCTTCTTCTTCTTCTTCTTCTTCTTCTTCTTCTTCTTCTCTCTTCTTCTTCTTCTTCTTCTTTTTCTCCTTCTTCTTCTTCTCTCCTTCTTCTCTCCTTCTTCTCTCCTTCTTCTCTCCTTCTTCTCTCCTTCTTCTCTCCTTCTTCTCTCCTTCTTCTCTCCTTCTTCTCTCCTTCTTCTCTCCTTCTTCTCTCCTTCTTCTTCTCTTCTTCTTCTCTCTTCTTCTCTCTTCTTCTCTCTTCTTCTCTCTTCTTCTCTCTTCTTCTCTCTTCTTCTCTCTTCTTCTCTCTTCTTCTTCTTCTTCTTCTTCTTCTTTTTCTTCTTCTTCTTCTTCTTCTGATTCTCCTAGGATTTTCAGCTTTACCTTTTATTCTATTTTGTATTGACTATGATGCATGTTGCCCATTACCAGTATATGCATTTTGGGTCGACACAACAAGACTTCTTAGAAAATTTGGTATGTTACCATTCCTAGTCTGCTTCTTGTACCCTTTCGAAGTTTCTATGAGAAAGCTTTTATCAGAAGGCCAGTAACGTTTATGAAAGCTATCGTGCAGTCCTTTTCTTCCCTGTGCCACAAAGCTTTGTCTTCACGAGGCTGGGACATACCAGACTGCATCTCTGTTGGCAGAATAAAGTTGACAGTGTTGGAGCACATTCTCAGCATTTTCTGGTGCCAAGCTGCAGGGGTACGTCTCCATGCTTCCTGCGCCAAAAGAAGTTTTAACAAATGTTGGCTATTAGTTTAATAATACATATTTAGCCTTCTGTACTAGAAAATTTAGGTCTTGCGGGTCCTGATAGTCACACTCGCCATCGATATAGCCTGGTATTAATGTGCGTCCCCATAGCTTGATATAACACTATCATCTGTAAAGACGTAGAGCTGCCAAGAAATGTGGCTCTTGCATGTTTTTCTAGTCTCACTTGCCATCGCAAGTGTGTCACAAATTGGTGAAGAAACAAAACAAAATATCTGGGCACTTACTTATGAGCGGGACGAACTCGGAAGTTTCTGGTAAGTTCTCTGCCACGGCCAACATGAAGACAGAAAAAGCCAACAGAACTGTGATACCCAAGGCTATCTTCTCCCCGGAGTCTGGGGGCAGACAGAAGACTAGCAGCGTCAGAGCCGACATCATCACACAGGGGAACACAACGTTGTACATGTAATACAGCGTCCGTCGCCGTATCTGCACGGTTAGAGGCAATAGAAAAACAATAGATATAATTGGATTTTATGTTGGCAAACTATTCAACACACCACCCATCCATCCACCCACCCACCCACCCCCACACCCATCCACCCACCCACCCATCCACCCCCACCCACACCCACCCACATCCACCCCCACACCCACCCACCCCCACCACCACCCCACCCCCCCCCCCACACCCCCCCACCCCCCATGAAAGCATGACAATGCAGGGCATTTCCATAAACGCCCCGACCGCACTTTCAGCAGTCAGAGTTAGGTTACAATCTCGTACTAGCAGCAGTTTGATTATATGCCCGGCTGGCTTTTCTCCAAGTGTCCAATTGCTCCTGAAGGACCGTGACCACATCTAGCCTGCCATGGGCCATTTCTTCATCCAGAGGTGTAGAACCGACCGGTCTGTCAGGCTGTTTACTTCCAAACTCAAGCGCATGCATGAGACAAAAGGCCCATAGAACGCTAACAAACTGAGACTAGGAAACCATTTTTGCTACTCCGTCTAAAGCATACTATGGCGTTTCAAGCAATGTACTTAACGAAGGATTACACAATGCATGTAATTAACTCTAGAAAATAGAGAATATTCAGAAGAAGAAAGCTGGCTATCGATACAAGGATCTCTCAAGGACACAACGAACAATATTGCTATAATCTGCAATAAATGTGTCAGGCTGGTTAAGAAGGGTTGGCGTGAAACTGGCTTACTCTGACCTTAGAAAACTCAAAACTGTTAAACTCGAAGCATTATCAATAGGGCTTAAAGGGTTTGGCGTGCGTTCATTCTGGACCTATGCTCCAGAGTGACATAAGCGAAGAGGCATCAGATAAGTGGAATAGTAATGTTGCTAAAAATCAATGTGTGACTGGATACACTCCAGACTAAGCTAACTATCAACGTATAACTGGATATAATCTAGACTAAGCTAACTATCAATGTATAACTGGATATACTCCAGACTAAGCAAACTATCAATGTGTAACTGGATATACTCCAGACTAAACTGTCTAACAATATGAAACTGGATATAATCCATATAAACTAACTATCAATGTGTAACTGTATATACTCCAGACTAAGTTAACTATCAATGTGTAACTGGATATACTCCAGACTAAGCAAACTATCAATGTGTAACTGGATATACTCCAGACTAAAATAACTATCAATATTTAACTGAAAATACTCCAGAATAAACTATCAATGTATAACTGGATATACTCCAGACTAAACTATCAATGTGTAACTGGATATACTCCAGACTAAGCTAACTATCAATATGTAACTGGATATACTCCAGACTAATCTATCTAACAATATGTAACTGCATATAATCCAGACTAAACTATACATAAATGTGTAACCGGATATACTCCAGACTAAAATAACTATCAACGTGTAACTGGATATACTAAACTGTCTAACAATATGTAACTGGATATACTCCACACTAAGACAACTGTCAATATGTAACTGGATATACTCCAGACTAAACTATCTAACAATATGTAACTGGATATAATCCAGACTAAACTATCTATCAATGTGTAACTGGAAATACTCCTAAGATAACTGTCAATATGTAACTGGATATACTTCAGACAAAACTATCTAACAGTATGTAACTGGATATACTCCAGACTAAACTAACTATCAGTATGTAACTCGATATATTTCAGACTAAACTAACTATCAATATGTAACTGAATATAATCCAGACTAAGCTAACTATCAAAATGTAACTGGATATACTCCAGACTAAACTAACTATCAATATGTAACTGGATATACTCCAGACTAAACTAACTATCAATATGTAACTGGATATAATTCAGACTAAACTAACTATCAATATGTAACTGGATATACTCCAGACTAAACTAATAATCAATGTGTAACTGAACACTTTACAGACTAAACTAACTATGCCATGATGACAACTATTTGCAGTGAACAGACACACCTTGTTTGATGAGCAAATGTAACGTATGCAATCTAAGTTACCACCAAACCAAGAGATAGAACAAACATGCGCCAGGTAAGTGTTGGAAGTTCAGTATCGATTGTATGTTCAACAGTGACTTTCGGAAACAACAACATGTTAGAAAAATTTGCCGTATTGTATAGTAAAACACCCAGAGGGAAACAGAGACGGAAGACATAAACATCAGTTGTATGCAATATTTGAAATACACTGAGGTTGAGATCTAAGGGGTTACGGCATTTCTTTGAATAAGAAGAACATCGATCAATCACCTCAGACCGTTTTGCACACGCCAAACGGCTGATTAGCACCAACTTCCAACCAGACAAAAACATGGCCGTCCATACAAATATAGACAAGAATATGAATCAATATACATCCCTAGAGATTATTACCAATTACATGCAGCAGTTCCTGTTTGTGCTTCTCCTGTATAAATCCTGAAGTTAGTACGGAGAATGTATTTGAAGTCAGTAGCGAAACATTTCGATCAGGTTCTAATTCCATTACCAGAAGCACTTGTCATTGGGTTCATCACTGTCTGTTTGTAGGCTGGTCTAGTTCTATTCATTCTGCGTCTGAAGTTGAACTTTCTATTTACACGGAAGTCTGAACTGTGTCTCAAACTACCAGCAATGTTTTGAAATCGTTGGTAATGCTTATTCATTTTTTACTGTGTTGGTACAAATGGGACTGCTGTTAACAGTACCAAGATTATACAAACCACTGTCAAAATCATCTGACAAAGGACCAGTGTGAGTTGAACGAAGAGGTAGCAGATAACTGCAACAGTAATGTTACAAATAATCAATGTGTAACTGAATGTAATCCAGACTAAGTTAACTGTCAATGTGTAACTGGATATATTCCAATGGGTCGCACGACCCTTTCACGAGGGTCGCCGAGTGTTTGTTTGTAGGTTGGTTTAGTTCTATTCATCATTTGTCTGCAATTGAACTTGTCTATTTACAGGGAGGTCTGAATTGTGCCACAATCTACGAGTCATGTTTTGAAATCGTTGGTAATGCTTACTCAAGTTTGACTGTGTTCGTATAAAAGGGACTGCTGTTAACAGTACCAAGATTACACAAAGAACTGTCAAAAGGACCAAGTATTTCAAAGGTATTCAGGAAAGCTACTTAAAAGCGGAAGTCGCAACTTATCAAGAACGTTTCTGGCTATTGAAACAACGAATAGTCGAGCAAGTCTCATTCTAGCCAGGAAATTTAGAAAGACATGTTATTCTATTTCGACCCCCCCCCCCCCCCCCCCCAAAAAAAAAACAAGTCTCACGTGAACAGTAACAGGTCTTATATAGTCTGTTAGATGTGACATTGTAGAAAATGTTGGATTGGACAAGCGCCATCAAAAGATTGCTAACTATTTAAGTTTGAAAAAATAAAGAAACCGTCCAGATACTATGTTACGACAATGACCACCCAGGAGACCATCCAGTTTGTAAACACAGCGATTTAGGTTAGCCAAGCGACGTATCAGCTAGGAATAAACAAGCAAGCTAGATCGGGTTTAGTTGAAGCTAATCAGCAAAATTAAATTACTGAATTTCTCATGAGACATAAGTGATTTTTCTGCATTCTTGTTTGTTAATTGTAAGGCTGTCTGTTTATGTCATGTGCTGATGATGGTTTTCTGGTAGCAATGTTCAATTATTTCCGTGTACTGTGGTAGGATTCTTCTTACGTGAGCCTCGAAAGGAGACTGCAGCAACTATTGATATAGCAGTTGTGTAATTTTTTTTTTTTGCGTTCGCTCTTGAAAGGACAGTTGACGCGATATACTGGGGCTTACAGCTAGGCTGCGATATCAGCGCCTTACGTACATGTGATTTCAGCAAACTCTCCATTCGTCGCATGCCTGTTAAGAGGCAGTGGGTGTGTCTCCCCCCCCCCCTCCCCCACAAAATTGAGCTCTGATTCAGTAATGTGAGGTGTGCACACACACACAATTAATCATTATGATGAGAACAACGAATTTAGCTACAAGTCTTCCAGAAAGTCCATTAAATAGTGTACATGTAGCTCTAACTAACGTGACAATGTCACCGTTTTAGCAACCATAGTTCCTCTTCTTCTTCTACACTTCCTCCAGTAACGTCATCAAAGTCAGGGCCAGATTAACCAATAAGCACACAAAGCACGGGTTTAGGGCACTATAAAGGGAGGGGACAACCACAGAAATGTTCGATAGGCTTGGAGCTGAGCGTTCATTTTCTTGGTTGAAATATATTTCAAAATCTTATCAGAACAACAATGCAACAAGGTAATTTGGATGTTTTACTCTATTAAATATAGATGCAGATGTATTACAGAAGATTAGTCTGAAGATCTGATCAAAGACTTTGCAATTTAAAAAAACAGTAGGAGAAAACCTTTTCAAAATTTAAAAAAAAGGATCATTTAAAAAATACACATTATTTTTCATTTAACTATAAGCTCTGTTTAATTTCAATCAATAAAGTTCAATTTTATACTTATTATTGTTTATACTTTGAATTACATATGGGGCCATCAGTGCCGTCTTAACACATGGGTTTGTTGGGCATTTGCCCGGGAGTCCCACGAGTATAAGGGTCCCATATTAATATGTGTATGTCAAGTGACAATTTACATTTCATTACTGTGAGTGGTTGTCGATGGGGCCACAGTTCACCGGTTTCCCTGGGGGTCCATAATGCTGTTTAGACGGATCTGTGGGGAGGGGAGGGGGTAACAATCTCGTTTAAGTGCTGGGGGTGGGGTGAATCATAGTCTTTTAAGTGCTTAAGACGTCAAATGGTTTTATCAGGCCCTGAATAAAGTGTTGGGGGAGAGGGTTAAATATCTTCTGTAAGTTCTGTCCAATGTATTGTCTACGTCGGTCTTCATTTCATTAAGGATGTCCTGATGCCGTCATTCTATGTTCTGCGGTGCTTACCTTGCTCTGTGTCTATTATATTTGTTCATTCTCTCTCTCTCTCTCTCTCTCTCTCTCTCT